CCCATTTCTTATTGTGGTCTTCTCAGTTTTGGCCTCACATACTTTGACATTCTGTTGTTAGGCACGTACACATTAGGGGTTGTTATGTCTTCTTAGAGAAATGACCCCTTCATCATTATGTAATGCCCCTTTGTGCCTAATAGCTTTCCTTCTCTGAAGCCTGCTCTGTATGCAATTAATATAACTCCTTTCTTTGATTAGGGAGAATGGTGTATCTCTCTATCTCTTTGTTTATAACCTATGTTAAACTTACATTTAAAGTGGCTTTCTTATACGCAACATATACTCGGGTCTTGTTTTGATGCATTTTGACAATGCTTTCTTTTGATTGATGCATTTAGGTTACTGACACTCAAGGTGATTACTCATAGAACTGGGTTAATATCGACATATTTGTCACTGTTTTCTGTGTATCCTTTCTTCTTTGTCCTCATTTTTGTCTTCCAGTCTTTTCCTGTCTTTTGTGATTTTAATCGAACACTTTGTGATTCCATTTTCTCCCTGCACCCCGCCCCCCACACACTCACTTCCCCTTTAGTGCCTTGCACTTGCTAGGCAGGCACTCTACCACTTGAGCCATGCCAGCAGTCTCTCTCTCCCTTCTTAGCATATCATTTGTTTTAATTTTCTAATGCTTGCCCTAGAATTTGCAATGTACTCTTACAAGCAATCCAAGTTTACTCTCAAGTAGCATGACACCACTTCATGGATGGTGCAAGTTACCTCACAATTATAAAATACTCTTAATTCCTCTCTTTTATCATTGCTGTCATTCATTTCACTTACACACATGCACACACAAATGTATAATGTTTTATTTTTAGTAAACTTATCTGATAGATCAATTAAGAAAAGTGAAAGGTATAATTTCACTTCTATTTGTTTCCTCTACGAAATTTTTCCTTTCTTTCCACGGATTTGAATTCCTGACCTATATATCCTTTTCATTTTCTCTGAAGAGCTTCTTTGAAGATTTCTACCAAGGCAGGTAAAGTGATAAAAAATTTCTCAATTTTGCTTATCTAAGAAAGTCTTTATTTTTCTTACAAACTTGGAGGATAATTTCAGAGGCTACAGAATTCTAGGTTGGCAGATTTTTTTCTCTCAGAACTTTGAATATTCCACTCCACTCTCTGTATGCAGTATCTGAGAAGTCAGATAAGGTTCTTGTATTTGTTACTCTATAGGTAAAGTGGTTTGCCCACCACCCCCTTTGGCTTCTTTCGTTTTTTCTTTGTGCTGATTTTCCTTATATTTTATTTTTTAATAACTGTCTAGGTGCAGTTATCCTGCTTGCTAGTCTCTGAGCTTCCTGAATCTGTGGTTTGGTGTGTGACATTAACTTGGGTAAAACTCCCAGTCATTATTATCTCAAATACTTCTGCTCCTTTATTTCTTTTGGTATTCTCATTGTTTTGATTTCGTAATTATCCCAGTTCTTGGGTATTGTTATTTTTTTCTCTTTTTTATTCTGGAAGTTCCTGTTGTCAAATCCTCAAGCCCATAGATTCTTTGGCGTCTACTGATAAAACTCATCAAAGGTGTTCTTCATTTTTGTTGTTTGTTGATCTCAAGCATTTACTCTTTCCTAGAATGGTTATCTTTCTGCTTATATCATTCATGTGTTCTTGAATGCTATGCACTTTCCCACAAAAGCCCTTAGCATTTTAATTATTGTATTTATGAAAATTCTTGGTCTGATAATTCCTATATTCCTACTGTCTCTGGTTCTGACACTGGTTCAATCTCTTGTCTATATTTCTACCTTTCAGTATGCTTTGTAATCTTTTGTTGAAGGGTGGGCATGATGTACTTGGTAAAAGGAACTTCCGAAAATATAACTTTGGTGATGCAATGGTAAGATGTGTGTTAAGGGAGAGTTCTATAGCCCTAGCCAGTGTCTTTGGACTGTGAACTTTACAAATGCTTTCCAGGCCTCTCCCAATCCCTTAGGTAAGACAGGATGACTAGAAACCCCTGGAGTTGAACATTTCCCTATCCCTAACTCTGGCTCTGGTAAGTTTGTCCTGTTGGATCTAGGAGTTGGTTTTTCACAGTGTTCAGCTTTTCATTATTAGTGTGATGGGATTAAGCCACAGTTCTCAGTGTTTGACTGGAAAGGGGAAGCCCAACAACTCCTTTCTAAATGTCATTCTCCTTATGATAAAAATGACTATCGTTCAGATCATATGCTAAGTCCCATCACTGGATTTTAGTAAGACGATGTGTTTTCTGGTTCCACACGTCCATGGATGGCAAATTTCACTCTAAGAAGGACAAGCCAGGAAATCCTAATGAACACCAGATTTGGATAAGCTAAGTGATGAAATACTGTGGGCTACTCTGAGGTCAGGACACAGGCGATTCTACCCTTTATTGTGAGGTCTTGTGAGGGATCAGAGGACCTTTTGTGGCAGTGAGGGCACATTGAAGTTCTGTGATACTGAATAGGTACGGGACCTCAGTGTGAGGTCCTCTGGCAGTGAATAGACACAGGAAGTCTCACTGCAATGTGAGGCCTGTGGCAGTGAGGGGACATGGAAGCCCTCATCTGTATATGGTCCTGTAACAGTAAGGGATCAGGGGTTGAGGGAGAACCTGTGCTACCCTCATTCAGGTCCTAGCAATAGATGGGAGCCATCTAGGCAAGTGGTGTGGGTTTGGTGTATGTCCTCCAGGTTTAGTGATGCAAGCAGGATTGAATACTTTGTTCTTGGACTTAAGTCAAGTGGGACTTGGACTCAATACCCAGATGTTCTCTACCTGCTGAATTTCTTACTCTGAATTTCTGAATTTCTTATATAGCACATTCTGGCTATATAAGGTATCATGACAAGAACATCTCCTTGATTTTAATTTTGCCACTCTTGGCACTGTCCCCAGGACCCTTGTGGCACAGATGTTTCCTCTTCCTGCACACCCCCCCCCCACCAAATCCCTGTGCCTGTCCCTACCCAGTAGCCTTCCCATCTGCAACTCTGACTCTGGAGTCAACTTCTCCCTGTGTGTACCCAGGATCTCACTGCAGCATGTCAGGCAGTGTCCTCCAACAATGGGCTAACTGGAAGACAGTTAATGTGTGAATAATGGCTCAAAGGAAACTGGTATTTGGTGTGAGGTGGGCATACAGGGGTCAGCTGGAACTTATCACATCTTTGAACATCTGATTTTATACTGTTGTAGCTTTGGCTTTGCTCTGTAGGCTAGTCTCCCTGAAGTCTGGAGCTCACCACACTTCAGAGAGGGGCTCCAAGGAAGACCATAGCCACTGTGGGGTCTGGGTCAGGTGCATGTCTCCCATCCCTTTTTTTGTCAAAAGAGTGCAGATGATCAGCAGCAATACCTATGCAGGCCTACACTCTCAGCATTCCAGAGGCAGGAGGGTAACAAGTTCAAGGCCAGTCTGGGCTACATAGCAAGACTCTGTCTTAAAAAACAAAACAAAAAATGAAATAAAAAACACACACACCCCCTCAAGAAAAAACACAGCGCTTTCCTCTCAGAACAAGGTCTATCATGTAAGCACAATTCTAGAATTCAATTAAGAGACATGTTGCATCTGACAAACAATGACCTGGGTCTACTTGGGACAGGCTGGGGCTCTCTAGGACTCCTGGCATAATCCCTACCCTTAACAGGGCAGCCTTGACATCCCTTGAGAGCGGTTTCCTGCAGACTGCATCTTTGACACTCAACCAAAGCCCAGTTAAAACATACCCCCTACAGGAAGCATTCTAGTTTCTCATTCTCTACATTCCCAAGCAGAACCCCTCAAGCTAAGTCCTCAACACCCCAAAATGAGTCTTTCAGTCATTACCATATGTCTACCTCTATTACCTAGTACAGTGTCACATCCTGGAAAAATCAGCCTACAATGCAAACTTTGCATAAAGGACTATTGAGGCTCCGCCCCGTCATCATCATACACTCACGAAGCAAGCTGCCTCATTTGAAGATGTTGGAAGGCCAACAGCTGCCTCTTCCACAAACAGTGCTAAAGGCATCAGCCACAGGAGAGGTGACTTCCTGCTTCCTAGGTGCTCAACAGCAGGCTGCAGTCAAGATAGTCAGAGAACCTGTATAGAAAGGAGAAGGCTAGAAAGCCCTTCTGGGACCACCAGCCAGGTTGCAGCCCCATGGCTTGAATGGGCCAGGGAAAATAACCTCAACAAATCCACAGCTGCACCAAGTTTTCAGAGGGTGCCAGGAACTTGAAGATGTCATGGATGTGGAAATCCACTGCCAACATGAAAGCCAACTGTGATCTGTTTGTCCTTTGAGCTGTACCCAAGTCCCCTGCTCATCATTTAGCCTGTAGCACTGAGGCTGGGGTGCCTCCCAGAGAAGGCAGTGGCCTTCAGCCAGTCCCAGGCCCACACGAAAGTGTCTCCTTGCCCCTGGGTTGGACCTTCAGCTGACATATTCCCTTCCAGAGGGGCACTGTCTCTATTCCCAGACCATACAAGTCCTGGGGATCATACAACTTGTTGCACATAGGTGAGTTCTCTGAGGTGTTTGAACATGTCTCAAGGGGCCAACAGGTGATACTCTTTCCTGAAATGTCTCCGTGTTTATTGATGTGGGACAAGAGAAAACCACTTGTGGAAGCCATGCTACTCACCCATCCTCTCTCAGAGCTCTGCCTTTTTTTGTTTTCAGTTGACAGTTAATTGTATGTATTTCTGTAGGGCACAGTGTGAAATTTCAATATGTGTCTACAATGTGCTATGATCAGATCAGAGTAATTAGTATATCAGTCTCCTTCAACAGTTATAATTTCTCTGCAATAAGAACAATCTCCTCTCTCCTAGCTATTTTGGTGGTACTAGAGTTTGAACTCAGGGCCTTCTACTTGCTAGGCAGGTACTCTACCATTTGAGTCATTCCACCAGCTCTCTCCAAGCTATTTTGAAAGATGCAACATCATTCACTGTAGTCAATCTATTGCACAATGGTATTCCTCTTGTCTGTTAATTTTGTACTCATTTTCCTACCCTTCTTCCTTATGTTACCACCTCTGGTAACCACCATTCCATTCTCTAACTTCTATGAAATCAGCTTTTCTACCTTCCACGTGAGTGAGGTGATATTCCTTTTATTTCTGGATAACAAGAGCAGAAGTTGACTCTGTTAATGTTGTGGTTCCACAGTGTTTGCTTTTGGGGAAAAGCTGGGAGGTGTTTGCAGGATGCCCTGGACATGAGCTGGACTCAGTTTCAGCTAGACAGTCACAACACACAGGAGAAAACAGATGTTCACCAGAGAAAGACCAGCAAGATGCAAGTGGTGGGGTCTGCACATGCTGCCCCCAGTGGGAGAGGCTTATGTGTCACTGACATAGCACTCACATGCCCTTTACAAGGATTGACATGTTTCCTTAATGCTTAGACAAAATGGAGAAAAGGCAAAAATGCAATGACATTCATGTTGGACAGCAGCTTGGGCTACAGCCATGCAACAGCAGCCCTGAACTGGTGTCTCAGATATGGATAAGAAGGACGGTCATACTATGGTGCCACCCTCGCCCAGAGGGTGCTTGGCCCATGGTAAAGGCCTCTGGGAGGCACAGCTCCCAGGTCAGCTTCTCAGGCCCCACTGAGAAGGGCATATGGGGCCAAGAACAGTAGCACTAGAGAAGCCAGGCCAGAAGCGGCAGCTCTGTGGTCCATGTCCTCTCAGGTCAGTTTTCTCATGCGCCGGTTATGCTTGTCCATGGTCAGGGTTGCCCGGTCCACAGCTGCAGTGATGCCATCCAAGGCCTCATCCTGCCGCTCCAATTCTGTCTCGGCATCCAGTGCCAGTCCCTTCAGCTTGCTCAGGATCTGAGGAGAAGCACAAATGACAGCAGAGATGACACAGAGGTGGCTTTTCTGCAAATGCTCAGAAACATGCCCTGTTTCCATTGTTTTCGCAATACCCCAGAAGCCTGATATGACAAAGTGAATAGTTTTCTGAGTCAGTGGGGACAGAATGCACAGAGCCAGTATCTGGGCTTGGCCTCAGTACTCAGGGATTGACCTTGCAGTCCCTGGAGGCCATTGCCACTAACTGCCAAAATATGGAGACCACTCCAGGGAGCCTGCTGGGTTTAGCCCATTCCAACACCTTGCTGGGAAATGTCCCCACATGGGTAAGTGGGATTCCTGTGTGCATTGGAGGGGTGACAAGGAGTAGGTAGCTCAGTCTGAGTTCTGCCTCTAGACTGTCACCTATACATTATCTGTCTGAGCCCACACAGACAGGGGAAAACAAGACTGAAAAGGAGGAGCAAGGCCCTTTTGTCCTACACATGTGTGGAAGATATCAGCCACAAATACAAAAGGCAGAACAACAAATATACCAGCATATACTTCATAGTGGCGTCTCCACCAGCAATGGACTGTAGGTAGGCTTGTAGTCCCACAAGACTATAATGGAGCTGAAAACTCTAATCACCTAGCAATGTCATGATGTCACAACACAATACAGCCTCATGTGTCTTTGGTGAAGCTGTTGTCAACAGACCCACTGTTCTGCCAGTTGCTTAAAGCACAGTGGAGACCACTTATGTACACTATGAAATACTTGATGACAATAAGCGACTGTGTTACTGGTTTATGGATTCACTATGCCATGTTTTAGTGGACATGCAAACATGTCTCTTGGTTGCATTGAGGCCATGTCAGTAATTGACCCACACTCTGTCAGTCACTCCAATATTGACATAATGACAAAACTGCCTCATGGCATACTTTTCAGAACTCATCCCCTAACTATAATCCATTGGGATGGAGGTACTGCTCAACACAAGTTCCTCAGAGAAATGTGGGAACTGGCCACACTGACCTGTAGGTAGGAGATGCCAAGAACACTGAGAGTCCAGGGACAGGTGGGTGTTTATAGGGAGCCATCAAGGATTGTTACCAGACACTGCAAACAGGCCAAGCTGGGGAGACCCAGCTCTCTTTAGCTCTCTACCTATCCACATCTGTGACTCACATCACACTTCATGTGGTTTCATTTTGTTCAAATTCTGTGGAGACTCATCACATTGTGGAGCATTAGTTTAACTACATGCTCATGGAGCTTGGATTTAAAACCTTACTATCCTCAAGGTAACAACAAAAAGGAAAGCATGGTAAAAGGAATAGTGATTATCATAACCACTTGTGATAAATGTGAACACCCTCTTTTAGGGAGAGTTTTAGGTCACAGGTGAGATCATATACTCAGAGTTGAGGAACATGAGTCCTCAGGAGGAGCCCTCAGCCATGCTCACCACTTCCCCATGGCTGCCCACTGGCAGAGCTACCTGCAGTCACAACACACCAAGTATTGGAAGGGACCAGCTGGATGGTAACTTCAGAGGGTCCCAAAACCTATCTAGCAATCATGTGTTTTACCCCAAGACCTCCTCTGGGCTCCACTTGGTGACATATGGGAAAGCTCTACATCCCGCAGGGGCCTGGGATACTAGGCAGAGCTATTGGTATACTTCAGGTAGAATGAGCCCTGTTACACCAGCACTCCAGCAGGTGCTCTTAGTCAAATTCTAGAATCACAAGGACTGTTTTGCTCATAGGCCTGGCCCCCACCCCAACAGGGAGACCTTGGCCCTGTGCTTTGTATCTTACTAGCAAGAGGTGGGAGGAGCCCAGGACAGTGTGGCTTAGCTTCCTCCCCAGACTGCAAGGCTCACATGACTGAAAAGTGGCTGCATCCAAGTCTCAGAGGAGCCAGTTTGACCACTGTGCACACCACTCTGCAGAGAGGTGGGCGGTGAGGAGCACCAAGGCCACTCAAGGGCACACAGACCTGACAGATGTGAGACAGCCAGCTCTCCCCATATACACTGCACCTGTACTGGGATTCCTGTTACGAGACAGTAAGCACTGCTGATTGCAAGCGGCTGTCCCAGACCAGTCATCCCACTCCCTCAGGGACCTGGCGGAAACTCTGCCTCTTGAATCATTACTTAGAAGCTGGCTGGAGCTCTGGAAAGTATACTGTGGGGTCAGCCGGCACAGGGGGATGGTCTGGGTGACCTCATACTGTAGGTCTTTTCCATCTTCTATGCCTATTACCTCACATGGCAGATGCCCAGACAGTGTAGTAAAAAAGAAAAACGAGTCCCACCCTGCCACTGTAGATTGGTTCCTCCCTGCCACTTTCTCTGGTCAATGACTGCTTTCTCATTTATCTGGTGTAGTAGGAAGGTTGTCTTGCCAGGAGTTGGCACAAAGGAACAGTCTTTGCCACCCACCTGCATGTCACTTGCTGTCCTCTGACAAGGCCACATGGCCTCCCACAGTCAGGCCACACACAGCCTCTAGCAGTGCTTCTCCGTAATCTGTAGGCCTGTCAATCACTCTGAAATGTGACTTGAGTTTAAGGTCATGTGCCTCATAACAACACTGCGGTCAGTGGTGGGTCCATATACAACCCCATCTTAGTTTATCTGTGCTCATATACTCGGTGAGGTGCCCATAACAATGCATTTCTCACACTGTGCCCCATCCTTAAGAGGCACGTGACTGGTTTAGAAATTGAGATGTCTGTATGGATCATTAGGCTTCAAACTGTATGCCATGACCTCTTAGCATAAAGCTGGGATCCAGGTCCTGCCAGAACTCTGCTGCAGCCTCCTGTGGGTCCTTCCCTCCCTCGGCAGCTGACTTTAGTGGATATCACCACTTGTCTTGTTTCTGTTCTAGGAAGAAAGGTACATGTAGAAATCAAGAAAAGTTAAAGAAGAAAATAAAAGTTGTCCATGATTCAAATAATTGTCTGTCACATTAGCACTATAGGTGAGGCATTCCTATTCTGAAAACCCAAAGTCTGAAACTTTCATCAAGTCTCTAGCCCTTCTGCTTTAGGTTATTTTTCAGACAAAGTCTCACTGTTTGCCTGATTTAGGACAGTGATCCTCCTACCTATGGCCTCCAAATGTAGCTGGCATGACAGCGCATGCCACCACATACAGTTTGTTTTGTTGACAAGGGTCTCATTAATATTTTGCTCAGGCTGGCCTGCTACTGCAATCCTCCTGATCTCTGCCTCCTGAGTAGCTGGGATTACAGACATGAGACACTGCATCTGGCCCAAAGTCTGAAACTTTCTGAGTGCTTACACAATGCCACAATGGAACATTCTACACCTGACCTCATAGGATGGCTGCAGGCAAAATGCAAGTGCACTAAAATGTTTAAGATCATCTTTAGGAATGTATATAAGATACATATATATATATGAAACAGAAATTAATATCATGTTTAGTCTTGGGTCCCATCCATAAGATATCTCAGTATGCTATGCAAATATTCCAAAACCCTAAACAATCCAAAATGTGCAACACTCTGTCCCTGAGCATTTCTGAGCAGGGCTGCTCAGACAGTATGGGCCATACCATATGCATACCAATATGAGCATACCAATATGCTCCCACAAAAAACAGAAATATGGGATTAAAGTATAAACAATTGGTTTTCAGGTTTTTTTCCCCCATTCCCTAGCTATCCTAAACAAAAGCTAAGCATTAAGGAACCCATGGAATTCACCACAATATGGTTTATGGTTTTATGACTTTTACACATTTTATCTCAGATAATCCTCAAAGGTTGTTTTATAAACAAGGCCAAGAAAGGGCGGGCACTGGCCTGGAGCTCTGGGGTCCACTGGATTTAGGCTGAGCCAGCTCACAGCAGAGACATAACCATCTGTCTGACATGAGACACTCTGAAAGAGTGATTCAGTCATAGTACCAGGATGCTTTGAGAAATCACATGTCCCTGAGAACTGGAACAAGAACCTCATCAGGGACTGGCGGAGGGCACTGACTCATCCCTGGGATGATGGGCTACAGGACCTGTGCTGTCTCATGGCCTGGGAGAATACACAAAAGCATATACAATAAGCAGCTCTTAATTTTAAAGTATCTATATTAAGGAGTAAAAACTGAATATATCCAAAATACCACATTTCAAAAGAAAAACAATAAAAATGATTTTGTATAATACTCTTTTAAAAAAGTCCTGGTGTGCTAGTATAAATGCTAGACTTAACACATATCTATCTCAACCAGGACAAACAGATAAACACTAGCTACATGTGGACCACTTCCATGACAGACCCTGTGCATTCTATACTTCTATCTCCATATTCCTGAAAGGCTAAATCAACTGTCTTTTCCCTGTGCACAATGAAACTGGCAAGAGTATGAATATACTCCTTGGCCTTTGCCTAGTAAGCAAAGTAATAATATGCACATGTAATTAATCTGTGGCCCAAACCAGCTGATTGCCTATGAAAGTTTGGGCATTTTACTGTATAAATACTCAAAATAAAGGCTGGTTGCTATTTGATTTTTGATTTGGAAAAAGTTTTGCCATTTTTTAAGTCTTAAAAAAAGAACTCATTCCAAACAGTCTGTTAAGACCCTTGGCCTGCCTGCCAAAATGCTCTTGAAATTAATTAATACTACAAAAACTGAAGATCTTTACAACTGTTTAGTCTTCAGACAAAGAAAATTACTGAGTTAACCTTCGAAGTATGAATACCTCTAGAATATTGATAGCCTTTTTTCTTTAAGAGAAGGACTGAAGTAATTAAATAGCATCATGCACATTCCATATAACAGGGATGGAAAGAATGGAGCTCATGAAGTCTGGCCAAACCTTAAAAACAGTTGTTCCCTCTGTGGCCCAGGATGACAAGCTGTCTAGTCATCAGTGCACAATGCTGCCAGCCTCTGAAATATCCTGGGGCCTCTCTGATGAGCCCTATCTGGCTGTGAGTCAAAGACTAGGCTCAAAATGGATGCTTCCCCAAGTCCTTGCTACATTAA